TCATACACAACCACTAGCATAATGTGGAAATGGTGCTAAGGCCTACGCCCGTGTCAAGATACTACAGTGCTGGACATAATTATAAAGCCACTTTAAAAAAAGCCATATTTCGGTTCGGACTCGACAGATTTCCCCCAAATTTTGATATGTCATATCTTTTACATCTATGCATAGTATGTTAAAACCTCAGCCTGTCAAGATTGTTTATAAGAGAAATTTCGAAGAAAATTTAAAAAATCGCAAAATCAAAGCTGGACATAATTATAAAGCCACTTCTCGTTATACACATCAAAAGCTTTCTTTGGCTCCCGGTTTTTTTGTACGGATACATCCTCGAACTGTGAATCATGCCGCACGGTAAAGCTCTGTCGGATTTCGAAAAGGGGCGCATTATGGCCCTCCACTCCCAGAAATGGTCCACTCGCCGCATCGCCGCGGAGATCGGCAGAAGTCACGGGGTTGTCAGCAAGTATCTAGCTGATCCATGTAGCTATGGAAGTGCTCAACATCCTGGACGTCCATCATCAGTCAGCGACCGCGACAAAAGGCGTATAATCCGGGCTGCATCCAATTCTACCATTAGCTCGAAGCGGATTCAGAAAGATTTGAGCCTTATGTGCACCCCTCGCACGGTCCGGAGAGTGCTGGAACGAAGTGATAACATCGTCCGGGCTAAGATGAGTCCGTGCCCAAAGCTTACGGACCTTCACAAGAAGCAGAGGCTAGCATTTGCTGAGGAGAAGCTCACACAACAGATTGACTGGACCCGGGTATTAAGTTTTTTCATCGTTCTGACTCATTTTTCGTAGGTTTTTTGTTTAGATCGTGTGGTCGGATGAAAAGAAGTTTAACCTTGATGGGCCCGATGGTTTAGCATCTTACTGGCATGACCTGCGCAAAGAACCTCTCCACTTCAGCAGACGGAATTTTGGTGGTGGCAATGTAATGGTCTGGGGAGCATTTAACACTCCGGAACTCTTCCCCTTGCCTTTGTCAAAATGACGGGAAGCATTCGAACAAAATGACGGGCCAGGATTACGTGGAGATGCTAGACCATTATCTCCTACCGTACTGGCAAGAAGGACTCATTTTTATGCA